AGGCTTGACACTGCCGACAACAACGCAACAAAAGCCATAAAACTAAAGATTGCACTTCAAAAACCAAGCTACAGAATGCAGACCCTCCTATCATATATTTTCCATCTGGGCCCTGCTTCCGTCCGCCGTCGGCGGCCACTGTCCTGGCCCGGCTGTCTCCCGTATGACTGACTGCAAACTGATGGTATGGCTGCTTTGTTGCACATTTCTGGATGAGTATTACAACCAATTGGTGTGTGAAGCACATGCTGGCCACCTGCAACAGCATCATCTTCCAAATTATCTTTCTTACACCACACCACCGTAAAAAAACTCTGGGAAGCTGCCTGCGTCAGGGATAAATTGGCCCAACGGACATTTAGTTGCCCATGACTAAGCGTAGACGACTTGATTTGCTTTTGTGTGTGGGCAGGGGCGTAGCCAGAGCCTTGCGAGGGAAACACGAGGTTGACAAAAGCCCTTCTTGTGGTGCCCCCGCCCCCCAAAAAGAAACAAAAGCCCCGCACATCGCCTACTTGCTAACAACGGACACGGTATTCTTTGTTTGTTGTTATTCTTATCTCGTAGCCAGGACAGAAACCAAAAGCTACCGCGAGATCAATTCTGCCTTGTATTTTGAAGTCAATAAACTGCAGGAATCAGACGTTGATCAACCGCGTGGAATAAATCACAGGTGCCCTTAATTTGCAATGGCTTAGTGGACTCTCTCTAAACCGATGGAACTCAGAAGCTTTCTCAGAATTTTTAGCTGTTTTCTACAGACATTAAGGACATTGCGAAGGTAGATTGTAGATCGATGATACGTTTAATACAAATTTGAAAATGAATATTTGGTTACAGATCGCGTCATCAACAACGTGCATTAACATGGCCAACGCGTGTTTTCTGGAACTGTTCAGCATTCAGTCAGAATCGATAAGTGATACAATGTATGTAACGGGGTTTTCTAACATGCGCTTGCAAAGTTTAGCAACAAAAACCTCGAAACCAGGCTTTGTAGTTTCCACTGCCCGCGGAGCGTTAACTTAATGGCTACTTTGTAGCTGCCGCCCACCGGTGGACAAAATGATAATGTTTCTGAAATAATATTTTGTAGACACTTAAATCGATTAGTAATATAATTACGTGACGCAATTTTGAGCACGCGCACTCGCAAATCTGAATAACAAAAACCCCGACGCCAGGCGTTGTAGTCTTGGTGGGCCGCGCAGTGTCGGCCTGGCAGCGTATACTGAGCCGTGGCAAATGGGTAGACGAAAATGATTAAGCTTCTGAAGGCAATACCTTTGAACGCTTCATGACATCAAACCCTGCATTCAGAGGGCCGTCTAGGCGCATGTTTCACGTGTGCGATTTTTAGACCGACGATAAGAACGGATTAATCCTTAAAGCACACCGAGGTGGTGCTGAAATCTGGTGGTGAAATGTATTCCGGGATCACATCTCGGCTGGACCCCCCCCCCCCCCCCCCACACACACACAACGGCGAATTGCCCCACGCAACACCGGCGGGGAGACTCCCTCTACGTGCCCCGAGCAGCATCTCTTATACTTCTTTCGAGCCCACCCGCAACACGATCGGCGTGCGACTCGCCGGCACCACCGCGTCCCACCCCACCGCGTCCACGGGCTAACGCATCGCCCCTGAGCCGTGACCGTTTCCTTATGTTAACACTGTCCTGGGGCGTGATCTATTGCCACATATGGTCCACCGCTACGCACTGTCCCGGGGCATGATCTATTGCCACATACGGTCCACCGCTACGCCCACCCCTGATCTTCAAAGATCATACTCTCACACCAACGTTGATACTATCCAATCACTCGACACACTCTATCCATAAAGTTGGCCCGGTTGCCGGTGCAACCCGCTGGCTGCGTCGCAGCGGCATCGTCGCAACTTCTTCCGCCGGCTGCTCAGGCCAGGCCAGGATGCTCACCGGTTCCGTCCCAGTCGCCGTCGATGCGTGCTCCGCGTTATCCGGGTTGTCAGCCAACAGCCATCTTCCATCACGCCGCCGTGCGGCGTCTCGACGACACCGACCGCGATCGCGCAGTCTCCGGCTCAGCACCACTGGCCGCGCGCCGGGTCTACAGCTGACAGGCGCTCGCACACGTGTCTGATCTGGACGTGCAGGATCTCGTCATCTGTGAAGTCATCCCAGCCGTTGGTCACTGCGTTCGCACGCCTTTTCAGCCACGCAGCGGCTGGCTGTGGCCGGCCGCTGCTCCACCGGCCTCGGGAGGCCAACCCGTCGCTCCACCGGCCGCGGAGGCTGCTCCAACCGCCCACCGGCCGCGGGAGGCTGCTCCACCGCTCCACCGCCATCTGCAACACTGGCGCTGGCGTCCGTCCACTTCCAGGCGACCGTCGACACCTGCTGCTCGCCGCTAAACTTCGCTGTAAAGTCGGCTGTATCCACCTCCAGACCTCGCTGGGTCACAGCTGCCGCCGCACAGAACCGCACGTCTGTCGGCATCCGCACGCTGATACCTCCCAGGGCAGTGATGCCACTCATGCCGAGCACGACGTCAACACCCAGCGGTTGGTCCGGCACTACCCAGACCTCGAGCGTCACTCGACGGTCCTTGGTATCAACCACCATGCTACGCTGCCGGTCCCGCAGCATCCGAGTTCCTGGCCGCCAATCGTGGCCACTCTCACCGTCCGCGGTGTCCGTTGTTGGCAGCGGCCAGCGTACACGAGCGCGTCCGTACAGCCCGCGTCCACCAGCGCCCCGACCATCCGCCCGTTCACCCACAGCCGGGTGATGGGCAGCGCGCCCCTCAATGGCGGGGAGACGGCGCTCGCGCTGACGCGGGCGTCCCCCGACTCGCTTTCCGTCCGACAGCCGCGGGCAGGCGACGGCGACATGGCCCAACTCACCGCACGTCCCGCAGCGTCGCAGTGGGCGCCTCGCCAAGCGCGTTGTCGACTCGCGGAGGCGTTCCTGCACGCGCCACGGCCGCTGCCACAGCGAAGCGTTCATCGCTAAGCACGGCCCGTGCCCGTGCGAGAAACGCTCGCTACGTCCAGCGCGACGATCCATCGCACGCCGGGATGAGCCGGGCGTCAAATAGCCCGCCTCCATCTCGCGTGACGCCCCTTCTCCCGCTAGCGCTGGCGCTCCCGCTGGCTGACGCTGGTGTCGTCGCGCCACCAGCCGTGATGGACGTCGTCACACCGTCTGCAGCCGCTGCCGGGGTCTTCGGGCATTCTGGCCGAAATAGCTTGTATTCGGAGAGCACATCTCGGCTGGGACCACCCACACACAACGGCGAACTGCCATATATGGTCCGCCGCTACATGAAACGGAAGAGTAAGGTAGAATCTCTATTGTTCATATTTATGCAACTATAGTCTGTCCAGAAGACAGATAAACCCGGCGCCCGTCGTCTGGTGGCACTTGCAGTGGCCGAAGCCATTCGGCTTGACGGAAGCTGCCACCCAGGGCATCGCTATCCTTGCGCTCGAGGTGCGGGGTGGGCATGTTCAAACCTTTGATGAAATTTTCTCACTAATCCATTCGAAAAAATAAACGCTCTCAGGAAAACTGGGAATTACCTTGCTGTTTTAAAAAAAAACTCATTTCGACTGTTCGAAATATACAACAATAATAAGGCCCATACTCTACATACCAAACTAGACCCCTTATTTGCTTGCGGGCAATGGGCCCCTTGAAGTAGAACACTAGGGCACACTATTATTCCCAATCAAGGGCTGAAGGGCCATTCCGTCCCATCGCGAAGAGTCTTCTCTGGCTGCCATTCTGGCGACACGGGGAGGGATCTCCTGGTCGATGCGGAGGCCCTTAGAAGAATATATATCATATCGCATTGTTCCCTTCCCTAACATGTGAGGCCTTGTGCACCGCGCAGCTGGCCCCGGATCACCACAGCAACCCTCACTGGCACAGCAACATCCTTGATTGCCGCAGGTGGTCACTATGTTTCATTCAGAGATGTGAAGTTCTCCCTGAACTTAGGTTGTAGATGAAATGGGGTCCAAAATTTGCATCAACATTGCTGATCTCTGCTCGTCTTAAAATGTACAAGATTCAGTCAGAATTTATTACTGATATAAAAAAACTATGTAATATGGTTCTGACCATCTGGAATCTTGACTGTAAGGTCTTAAAAAAGAAACATTCTCCAGAAAAAATTGGGGATCACACACACACCCACACACACACACACAACACACACACACACACACACACACCAACACCACACACACACACACACACACACACACACACCACACACACACACACACACACACACACCACACACACACACACACACCACCACACACACACACACACACACACACACACCACACACACACACACACACACACAAACACACACACACACACACAACACACACAGCACACACACACACACACACCACATACACACATACACACACACACACACACGCACGCACACAACACACACACACACGCGCGCCGCGCGCGCGCGGCGGAACATAAAAATACACGTAAAGAATGGGGAAAAAGTCATCTTATTATCCGTACCCACTGCTCCAAAGAGGTCTCACCCACTGACAGCGGCCGGAGCGCCGCAGCGGGCCGGAGGAAGCTGCCGAGGTAGCCAGTCCGGCGGGCGGCGGCGGCGGCGTCTGGAGCGGCCGGAGGTCCGAGCGGCCGCGCGGCGGCGGGCGGCATCCGGCTGGCCGGGAGCACGCGCTGGCGCAGGTGTCGCCTGTTGCTCGGCAGGATCCGGGCCCGCTTGACAGGCGGGTGTATACCGCCGGCGTGGGTCCGGCATCAGGGGCTGCTCCGCCCCGGTCTCAGGTGTCGGTTGCCGGGCTCTGTAGAGCCCACCTGCGAGTCGACTTGGAATGGCGAAAGGTCGTAAGCGTGTTGTTTGCACGCCGTCCGCGTGCGCCTGCGGCGCGCGGCAGGGGCGCTCTCGACGGCAAATCGGCCGCCTGATGTCGGCGGGTAGCGAACAGGTGCCGGTTGGACGCCAATCATGTCCCGCTCAGGCGGCTTGGGTAGGATCCGGGCGGGCGAGCGCGGCCGCCAGGTCCGCCAGATCGTGTTTTGTGTCCGGTCCAGTATATTGTGTCTGGCATGCAGCTATTAAAGAATCCCGTGCGTTCGGCCTGCAGCTCGTGAGGGATCCCTTGTCCGGTGTACAGCTATTGAAGAATCCCATGTGTTCGGGGCCTGCAGCTCGTGAGGGATCCATGTGTCCGGCATACAGCTCTTGAAGAATCCCATGTGTTCGGCCTGCAGCTCGTGAGGGATCCATGTGTCCGGTGTACAGCTCTTGAAAATCCCATGCGTTCGGCCTGCAGCTCGTGAGGGATCCCTGTGTCCGGTGTACAGCTCTTAAAGAATCCCATGTGTTCGGCCTGCAGCTCGTGAGGGATCCATGTGTCCGGTGTACAGCTCTTGAAGAATCCCATGTGTTCGGCCTGCAGCTCGTGAGGGATTCGTGTGTCCGGTGTACAGCTCTTGAAGAATCCAACGTGTCCGGCCTGCAGCTCGTGAAGAATCCCATGTGTCCGGTGTGCAGCTCGTGAAGGACGGTTGCGCACATCGGGCAAGGGATGACGAGACGGCGGCCGTACATCACCAGGCCGTCGTCGACGGTCAGCTGAGTATGAACGGGCCAGTAGGCACGCATTGGCAAAGGCAGATCGACATTGTTGGGTGGGAAGCCTTAAAGCACAGCGTCGAGTAGAAGGCAGCCTTCTTCGTTGAGATCTGCGGCCCCGCGCGTGTCCTGCAGGTGGATGTCGACGCACGACCCGTCGAGCGCGTGAGCCGTAATAGCCGACACGGCGGGGCGTCGACGTCTTCCGCAAGCTCACCGGCGTCGATAGGCTCTTCTTCCAGAGACCGGCTGGTCGCGTCGGCGGCTGCGAGGAGCTTCCCCTGGTGCCATTCGGTTGCAGTTCACAGTCCTGCCCTTCTTAAGACCTTAACCTTTCTAGTGTCTGAGTTACACGACGGCGAAGATGGGGGGACTATTTCGGGAGAATATTTCAAGGTCATCCTGTCACTTATGATGCCATAATAACGTCCGCCACCCAAATCCTGCCATTCCATAAGTCATGCGGTGATCAAGGCCAATAAAAGTATACTGGTCGATTTGCTCATATCTGGCGTTCGTGGTCGCGATTTCCAGACAAAACGGCCTTTAATTGGCTGTCAATCAACGTTGTGCAAGGTACGATGACGTCAGCAAACAGTGACGTGTCCAGGAATATATCTCTTATCTACAGGCGCCTTCCCTGGCTTCTTCTGCTGCACAGGGCAGCAAAAACCTTTGAGCCGGTTAGCGTTCGTTGACAGCACGACGGGGCGCGTTTGGCCACGGTACGCCAGCGTGTGCGCCGAAGATTGAGCTGGCTACCATGAGCGTCCTCTCGTGACCGGCGTCCCAGATGAAGCTTTGCTTTGAGCTCGGCAGGTGGCGCAGCGATTCCAGCAGTTCTCCCGTCTGCGATTGTGGGACTGGGAAGGACGCTGTCGCCTCGGTCAAGGCAGGGCCCGGGACGTGGTCGTCTGCTGAGACCATAAACCCGGTTACCTTAACGCTGCTCTGCACGTGCTGCGTTTTTGCCGAGTTAAGAGACGCGCCGTGAGCTCGGCATCGGGCCTGGAACGCCCGGACTGGCGATAGGTCCCACGTGTGTTTTGTTGTAGAAGATGACGTCATCGACCGTGCGTTGGATGTCGTTGAAGCTACTGGAGCATTTGTCGATGCGACGATTGTAATGTTAAATGGTGGGCGACACCGTATGGCGCGCGGAGGCACTGGCGTCTTCTGTATGGCGCGGTGAAGGTCGTGAGGGGGCGGCTGGACTCGTCCACGGACTCGTCCACGAGACACCGATGGTGTTCCTTTGCTACATTAATAACGCCGAACCATCTCGCCTCGCTTGCAGTGATTGATGCCGCGCATTCAGGTGGTGGGTTAGATTAATACGGTTCTCGCTGTACGGCTCTGTTAAGGCTGGACAGGTAGACACACAAGTGTATCTGTTTGCTCGTGTTGTTCGTCAAATGACTGCTGCGGGATGCGCTAGTCTGGCTGTCTACCCGACGGATACGACCTATTAATTAGCCGGCACACCGCCAGGTAGCAGTACGCCTGGCAGGCAAATACCGTCTTCTATGAGTACTCGTCGCTTGTGGACCCCGCAGCCAACCTGTGACGCGACAGTGAACAGAGAGTTTGGACTCGCATGAATTAACCTCCATAAAAATCCCGACCTCTCAAGGCCATCCTTCAAGGTCAAATCAAGGCTCAGAGGACGGTGAACTCCATGTCACCCAAGTCACCGGTCGATTTCAAATTTCCAAGCATTAAAATAGTTAGCGTCAAAATCGTAGCGTAAAAGATAGCGTCCGTAAAAACCCGATTTTGACCTTAAAGGGTGACCATGAAAGGTGAGGACCTCTTGATAGCCGCTAGTATCTTTGCCGGAGAAAATTCAGGTGCTTGGAAATTTGAAATCGGCATTCAGTTCTTTGGTGATATGAAATTCCCGTCTTTTGGGGGACGAAATTTATCTTGAAGAGTGACCTTGATATGCCAGGATTTCCTGACAGACGCTAGTTCATTCGCTAGCGGTTGTGCTAATATTCAGAAATCCGACATCGGCCGGTAAGTTCTTGGTGATGTGGAGTTTCCTGTCGTTCGACCTTGATTTCGTCCTTGAGGCGATGCTACATTGTAACATAGCCGTACCATTCGGCGTTCCGATGTCACAATCGACTATCTGCCGCGTTTTAAGCGAAATCGAAACTCGTCGCTTAATAAATCCCCAAATAACTCGCCAATTTCATGGCCATCAGTGTACCTCGCAGCATCGCGACGCTACGAGAATGCCAGGTCAAACCACGCGCGAGGCAGCTGTCAGAAACAGAATATGCTTATATTGAACGGCAGCGTTGCAACGAAATATTCTTGAGTGATGAAACCAACTAAGCACATACTCTAGGCAATAAGCAGACAACCTTCACTTTATTCTGACTTTGTTGGTAGAATGCTACCATTTTCACGCATTTTCATCTACTTTCTGTTGCATTCCGTGTCTCCTAACTACGCGATGGCCGGGAAATCCGTGCATCTTGGACACACCTACTGTTGATACTGCCAACAAATGTTTGAAGCAAGTACCTATCTTTCAAAACCAGCAAACGCCGTATGATCGTAATGGTCAGAGGAACGGCAGTTGTGCCCGACACACGCGGCCGGCCGGCCGGTGGCGCCGCCGGCTCGGAACGCGGCCTGTTTCAGTAAGGCCGGGCTGTGCGCGGGGCTGGCCTGTCGGGGAGGCCAATAGTGAGAGTCTAAAGCGACTCGAGCCACCTCACAATGATTGGGATAGTAGGATGGCAGACGCTCTCAACAAGTGAGCTGTGGCGTCGGACAAATTTCACAGCAAGTACAAATACGTGTCAGGCAAACGCCAGATGGACGTCTAGGCCAAATGCCACGAGTAATTAGGCGTTGAAAACTTGTGTATGCCTAAATGAAACAAAAACGAAGGTTAACTTAACACAACTGCTGCACCGTGAGCCCCTTCATACTTCCGACAATGTATTAGTGTCCAAACAGGAATTCGAGAGGCCAGAGGTGTTCTACTTCACTCTCTAAGGGCCCATCAAAGTGACCATAGCTCAC